GGAACAGGAAGCCTGGGACAATCCGTCGGGGTCCTTACCGCTGCAGATTTCCGCCCCGTATGTGACTAAGGTTTTTGCGTCTATTCTTTTTCTTTGCAGGCATAGAAGATGTTTATCAAGTTAGCTACGCTGAATGCGAGGGGCTTAAGGGATCGGGGTAAGGCTGCCCGCCTGCTCCGGGACCTTCTGTCCCTGGATGTGGATGTTGCCGCGATCGAAGAGACCCACTTTGTTTGCAGTGCCGATGCGTGTGTGCTGGAGGATGACTTTGTTGTCTATTCAGCATATGGGGACCGGTTTGCCAGAGGAGTTTCTTTGCTTGTCAGACGGACTCTTGATGCGAAGGTGGACCTTGTGCATGCCGATGGCGAGGGCCGGTTGATCGTGGCCGATATTGCCGTGAAAAGTGGTTCGTTCCGAGTCGTTGCGGTTTATGCGCCCAATGACCAGGAGGAGCGGGCCTCGTTTGGGGCAATTCCTGGTTGATTCAACGCGCCTAGTTTAAATGGGGGACTGGAATGCCATTCTGGACCTCAAGTTAGACAGGGGGCGGGGTGCTAGTGGGAGAAGTGACGATCGTAGCCTGGTTGATCTGATCGACGATTATGGTCACGTCGATAGATACCGGGTCGATCATCCCGGGGGGAACATGTGAACGTGGGCTCTTAGTTGGCCTTCTGAAAAGGTGGTTAGCTACCTTGACAGAATGTTAGTTAGAAGAGCCGACATAGATCTGCTAGATTGCCCTACGTTCCACCGGGTAGGCTACGCGGACCACAAACTCGTTTGTGCCCGGGTAGCGTTAGATCATAGGCCTAGAATGGCTGGGTACATGAAGTTCACTCTGTCTTTACTGGACAGGCGGGACTTCCAGGAACAGCTAACTAGATAGTGCAGCAAAGGGAGCTAGTGGGGGCGGTTATCGGGAATAAGTGGTGGGAGCGCCTTAAGTGTAGGATTAGGTCTTTCACCACTGATTTCAGCAAACGGCTCGCTCTAGATAGAGCTGATAAGGTGAAGACACTTAAAGCTAGTTACACCCGGGCGGTGGCTGGGGGGGATCCCCTAGAGATAGCCTTAGCTAGGGCGGCGCTGGATCGTTTGAATAGCGAGCGGTACATGGGCCAGGTTATTAGACATAAGTTAAGCAAGATGTCTTCTGAAGCCGTGAACTTGGGCGCAGATCTGCGCAGGGAAGAGGTCCGTCGAGGTGGCGATCGTTTCATTCGTGAAGTCAAGTCCCTGGAGGGGCATACTCTTCGGGCCACTGACGACATGTGCGAGGCGTTTCGGCGCTATTTTGAGAACCGGTTTACCAAGGAGCCTGGTCTCCGTGAGGAGGAGTTTCGCAGCTATTTGGCTGATTTCCTCGGCTTTCGCCGACTGAAGCGGCTAGCTGCGAGGGAGAGATTACGGAGGGCGAAGTCTACGTGGTTTTGAAGAAGGTCGGCAGAGGCAAGTCGCCCGGTCTGGATGGTTTGCCCTATGAATTGTACTTGAGGCTGTCGCACATCTTTGTTCCGATTTTGACAGCAGTGTTCAACAACTGGTTTCGGTCGGGGTCCATCCCCAATCGGATTACCCGGGGCGTGATCACTCTGTTGAAAAAGTGCAAAGGTGGTGGGGGGAAGCTAGATGATTACAGGCCCATAACTAAACACAGAGTTAAAGATTATGGCCAAGATCCTGCAGGAGCGTTTGCAGTCAGTTGCCGAGTCTCTGTTGGGACCTGAGCAGACTTGTTCTGTGAGGGGCCGAACAATTCAGAGCAACCTGCATCTGATCCGCACGATCATAGAGGGTGTAAAAGACGACGAAGAAGCCACGCTGATCAATTTAGATCAGTCCAAGGCATTTGATAGGGTCGACCATCGCTACCTTGCTACTGTCCTGCAGGCCGCTGGATTCGCACCCAACTTCTGCCGCTGGATTAGCCTCCTGTATCTCTCCCCCATTGCTGTGTTACAGGTGAACGGAAGGTTGTCGGACGCGTTCGTGCTGTCTAGGTCGGTTCGTCAGGGTTGTCCGCTTTGGTGGAGCCTCTCCTTCGCCGGCTGAAGGACGAGACCGGCAGTCCGGCCCTACGTGGAATTGCCGTGCCTGGAGGGTCTCGAGCCAGGGTTTCCGCGTACGCCGATGACGTATCTGCTTTCGTGTCGTCCCGCAGCGATATTGAGGCGGTACAGAAGGCGCTTGATCGGTACGAGAAGGTGACAGGGGCCAAGATAAACTGCGACAAGTCGTCCGGCTTGCGGATAGGTGCCTGAAAGGGGGTCGCTCTTCCGGGCCGCTTCGGTTGGACGGACGGTCCTGTCCGCATTCTTGGAGTGTGGTTTGGGCCCGACCTCCAGCTGGAGAAGAATTGGTCTGAAGTACGTGCAAAGGTCGATTCTGCCGGTCAGACTTGGAATCGACGGTGGTTGTCCGTGAAGGGCAGGGCGGAGGTGTGTGTTACATACATTTTCCCCCTGATTATTTATTGATTGTCCGTACTTCCTCTCTGTAAAGACCGTAGGAACGCGCTCGGGCGATCGCTATCCTCCATTTTATGGAGGGGACGCGTGAACAGGGTCGACAGACGAGTCTGCACTAAACGTCCGTGTCATGGGGGGCTGGGAATGCCGCACCTTCTGAGTCACATCCGTGCCTCTAGGTTGGCTTTCCTACGCCGCGCATTGACTAGAGGAGATCTGATTCTGGAGGGGATTGTTAGGGACGCCTTCCCTAGCCTTACCATCAGTCCCCCCATCTCGCGGGTTGAGCGCCGTTGTAAACCCCGGGGTGAGTCGGATTTCCTCCGCGAGTGTCGGTTGGCCTTGAAGGCCATTCCCCGGTCCAGTGACCTTTCTCGACCTAGGAAGGTCTTCTATCGTGGTTTAGTGGAGGGTCGCGCGAAGGATTCTCTACGAGATACGCTCGGCTTGTCGGAGGAGGAGTATCGCTCCTATTGGTCTTGGGCGCCAGCGGCAGATTACCTCAGTAACCCTGAGTTTTCGCTTACCTGGCGATTGGCTCGTAATCGGCTGCCTCTCAATAACAAGGCTTTCATATGGGGTTTGGCGGATTTGCCAGACTGTGAACGGTGTGGTCTTGGTTTAGAAGAAACGGCTTCGCACGCCTTCTACCATTGCCCCAGGTCCGCTCCTTATGGGACCATGTCGGCGAGCTGACGGCTCGTCTCGCTCCTGAACAGCTTGTGTCCATTGATCGCGCATACGCGTGTGACAATGTGTCGCCCCCGTATTCCGGGGAGAAACGAATGGTGTTTCTGATGCTGATGGCCACGGCTCGAATGGTGATTTGGACGACGCGGATGGAGGAAGTCTTGCGGGGCAACCGTCTTTCTTATCAGCATCTAATCCAATTCTTTGAGCATCAGCTCAAGATGAAGATTAGATCTGATCGAAAACGATTGCATTCGACAGTCTTCAGCGAAAGGTGGGTAAAAGAGGCGAGCTTGGTTCGTGTGACCGGGGCTAGCCTTGATTTTCTTTTCTAGGTCAACCTATGGCACATAGGGGTGGCTTCCTGTGGAACCCTCCCCTTGGTTAGGTTAGACAAGCTTAAGTGTACCTAGTTAATGTGAGTAAGTGTTGTTCCGGGCCTGTATCCCGGTTGCTCTTTGGTTATGGTCCAAGTCGAGATTCCCAACCTCCCCAGTTTGTTTTGGCCCCCTTTTATCTCGACTGGGTCAGCTTTACATTTTCCCATGCCCCTATAATATTTTATCCTTTTTCCCACTCCCTTAGCGAGAGCGCTTCTTGATTCTGCCCCTTGGGCAGAATACAGCGGCCTCTCTGTTTTGAGGGCTGGACGGGCCCTACTAACATGTGTTATGTTTAGTTTGCATTTTGTGTTTATTTTTAGTTATTATTGGGTTCATCTCCCTCCCCTTTCATTCTATCATTATTAGAATTTTATGTATAGCATTTATGTATCATCAAATTTTTAAGGATTGGGGCGCGTTTTGGTAAGTTCCCCTGGAGTGGATGTGGTATTTTGGTGGTTGAAGGATTCGATGGTGATGGACAAGTTCTTGTGGTGAATGAGTTAATTGTAATGTATGAATGGGTCGTGAATCTGATTAGCTAGGTATAGGATAGTTAGTTTGGACCAGCCTCTACCCCTCCCCTTCATCGGCCTTGTGCCACAATTCTTTATTTCAGGAATATATCTCCTAGTTATAAGTGTTATATACCCAAAAAACCGTAACAGAACTGGGATATTTTCTTTGTCTGGTAATATATATATATATATATATATATATATATATATATATATATATATATATCAATGATATGCTTTGGTAGAGATATTATTGATTTTATTTTTTTTCGAGTAGGAGAAGTAATGTGATATACTCTACATGTGGCCCCTGTAAGAACTAAGAAGCCTTCCTGGAAATGAGACACGTCTTTTCAACACAGCAACCTGTGATTGAAGGGAGGGAGAGTGAGAGTTTGTGTCCTTTCCTCCTTATACTCTTTTATACAATGCCGCCTCGAAGGGCTCTCTGACAGACGACGTGGGATAATCGCAAAATTAACAATATAAATATATTAAAGATAAGGATATTATTCAAGTTATACTGAAGAAACAACTAGCCGAAAGACTGCATGATATAAGAAAACTAAAGATGAATATCCCACTTTAAGAAATGTTCCTAAAGAAGTATTACTAATGATTCATAAAATATGCCTAACCCACAGTCATACATGATGTAGCAATCAGTCGGCTTACAACCATATCACGTTGAAGCATGTTATACGGGAACACACCTATTCTATTGTTAATAGACTCTCCCCCCCCATAATAAGTAGGAGTAGTAGCAGTCGCCAGTCGCTGAGGGAGTTGGTCAGTCAGTCGATGTCGGACGACCGTTAGTCGGATATTAAAGTATCAGCCACTACAACTTGATTGCTGCGTCATTAAATATTATATCAAATTCCTAACGTTTCCTTAGTGAAATACAAGCCTCCACTGTGAAACTACTCTATAAC